CCATACTACAAGTCTCTCTGACTTCATCACTAATAAGATGAGCTGCATATAACTGACTGGCAAGATCTGAGAGAGATGTCTTAAGAGAATTGAGATCAGCATAATGAGATACAAGAACATCATTAATGATTTTCTTAGCTCTATCAAGATTAACAGTTGCTGGTGGACCTAATAGAAGTCAATAGTCAGTAAAATCAAATATATTATATAATATTTAGTATACACAAACAGTTACACACATGCATTTTACTTACTAGCTCCTCTAGTGGATGATGCAGTATCTTCAGTAATTGTATTAGAATAAAGGAGAAGTTAGATATTAAATAAAAACAATTGAAATGATTTATCTATTACTTGTTGTTCTCAGAGATGCCTGAATTACTAGTGTAACAGGACGAACCACACCTTCCAGTGGTACAGAGTAATTTAGTGTAGGAACAGCATCAGGTGATCCATACACTGATATTGGACAAGATGGAGGAAGAGGATAATCTTTATCACCAAAATTGTTAATATCATCTTGATATACCTGAAAATAACAAGTAATCATGAAACATATACAGTATACAGTATAACATACCTTGCAAGGTGTCATGCGAGGTTTAATACTCCATCCAGTAAATGGTTCATCTTGTGGAGCATCAAACTTTAACTCAATAAAACCATAAGGAGATGCAATACGAAAGTAAACATTGAGTTCTCGTTTAGCTTGAGGATATTCTTTCTTAATAAACTATATCAACAATGAACTAGTAATGAATCACATGTACACATTCGCGGATTACCTCAATGAGAGCATCTAATTTCTTAGCTGCAGTGAAAGTGAATAAATCCTTCGCACCTTTCTCCTCATAATATACCATTCCAGCATATGTAACACCCTTCATTACACCAGTGGACTGTACTTCTAGTTATATACAATACACAATACATAGAGTATTAATAGAGTGTATTCATGTATTTACCATCTTTAGCCTCTGTGGTTGGTTTATTCAATACTTCAGCAGCAACAGGTGGGGTATAAACTAACACGTCATTCCCATCAATTTGCTCCTTATCTTCCTTTCCTTTGGTTGTTTCTACATGCACAGGATCTTTCTCTTGTCTTTCCTTTTGCTGTTGTATTTCCAATGGTTCTGGTTGTTCCTGTGACTCCCTCTCTCCTTCTCCTTCTTTT